AATTTATATAGATATATACATATACTGTATATATAGATACATATAAACGAGAAAGTGTGATGCATACACAGCGCCCAGCGTAAGAAAAACAATTGATAGGTAGAGGCCTGGTACGACCCATTCAATAGTGAAATATAGTTTATTCGTTGTATGTACATCAATTACTCTATCACCGATCGTTTGTTGATTAGCTTCATCTGCCATAATTATAAATAGTTGTGTGATGTGTACGTCAACATCCCTACAACGGATAGGGTTTAGATTATATTGCTCTATCTAGCCATAATTACTGTATAGTGATTTAAGCACGTACTTCAGCAGGGCCCAACTCTCGCCTTCGGGTAAAATGACCTCAAAATGACCAGCGCCATGAACAAAGTGTTGTGTGATATCGTCGCCTGAAATGGAGGCAAGGGACATAGAATTCTTCAGCCAGTACAATATTTAAGCCCCGACTTTCAATTACTCTGAACATCTCTAACCAAAACGAGAATACAATTCGTGAATCCTTATCATGTTATTGAAAACGTTAGGGACACACAAGGCATAGGGCAGGAGCTGAGCAATACGTGATATGCACAGGGTTTAGGCTATACGTTTACGGCTTTCCGGATATTCGGAACAGCGCATGCCAGACTAACAGACAACAGACTCAAACGCCAATAGAATACAAGGCAATACAAGGCAATCGCTGGTCACAGTGGTGTGAGGGGCTGAGGGCACTCCATCGGAGACCAACCATCTGCGTTGCACAGACGCGACTGTGAATGGAGGCGTTACAACTGAAAAGGGAATATAGAACAGATGACGTAGGCAGCAAAGGGGTGGACAGCAATTAGCCCACAATGGACCCACAATATGCCACACAATAGACCCACAATATGCTCACAATAGGCCCACAATAGGCCCACAATAGACCACACAATAGACCCACAATAGGCCCAACAAAAACCCACAATAGGCCCACAAAAAACCCACAATAGGCCGCACAAAAGGACGAACAGTCATACTGACAGATACTGACAGTAGGTAAATATGGCTGCGGTGGGGTTGAGCCTGACTCACCTGTCTGTGTAGCCTTTGCGAAGTACTCGTCGTTTAAGGTTGAGGGCACAAACTGGTCCACTGCACCATGAATTAGCACCTGCAGTAAAGCATGGAGGCACAAGGGTCAAGCATAGGGATAGACATGTGAAGGAGTGCCACATATAGAGGCATGAGCACCACGCTATACTAACGTATCCCTCTAACCCAGTACCAACAGTCAGACATACGTAAACAGTCGAAGGGTTACTATTTTAAGTGTCCCTCTATCCCATTACTAACAGCTACACATACGTAAACAGTCGAGGAGTGCTATTTTTAAGACAAGCTTACCACAACAGAACAAAGTGTCCCTCTATCTCAGTACTAATAGCTACACAGACGTCCCTTTTGAACACAATGTATATGTTATCAAATCTGCCATACACCGATAGAAAGTACCTGTTGAACGCAAATGGATGTGTCATCACATCTGTCATACATCATTATAAACGTTTGCGTACCTGTTGAACGCCAGCGGGTAGGTTTTCGATGGGACTAGCCCAGTTATACCTCTCATCAACGGCATCAGATGTCCCAGACGCTCCTCCCATGAGTCGCACTATGCTGTTGCCACAGACCTCTTTACTCGCCCCGTCTCTGAGATCAGCTGAGGGGGTTATACGAGGGAAAACTTGGTTTATTACGGATAGAAAATTTGGTTTATTGAGAATAGAAGGTACATGTAAGCGTAGCACCAGTTTCATGCCCCTGACCATACCAACAAACAAACAATTCTTGACGGGATAATTCCTCGAGTATAGCAATTTCGGAAATCAGATCTTCATCAGATGATCAGGTGTTGACCGATTGCACATGTGAGTAAACCCTAAAATAAACACTCACGAACCAATCCAACAATGATCTATCTGCGCGGGTCCTTTGATCTGAGATATACAAAATGCACAAAGTGAAGCTGAGATACGAGCGCATCAATATGCTTCGATAGAACAAGGTCATATTTATATATATATATATATATACGCACGCACGCACGCACACGACACACACATATATATATATATATATATATATATATATATATATGGTGTGACGCGATCGTTCTACTATAGTAATAACTAATTATTAGTCGCGTCGTCGTCGCGTC